CCATAAGATTTAGGTATTGTTGTAAACTCATTCATAATTTATTCTTGCATAATACCTACTATATTCTAACTTCTCCATTAGCATCATTAAAAAAGTAAACTATGCAATAAAAATAGAATCTGTCTAAAACAGATCAGTCTATAATGATCTGAAAAGAACATTATACTTCCGTAACTCCAAAACATCTAAAAATTTAGGACAACATGGTAAATTTGTATATCAATCATGTGTAAAAATTTCATAATTTTATCATGTTCCGGTGAATTATAATTATTCTAGCAGTGGGTGTAAAAGTTTCTGATTTTTCACATAATCAAGTCAACTATAAACTAAATCATCCCAAAGGCTTTACTTAGCACAGACACTAATTAAAACATAAAACACAATCATAACAGTAACAATAATTGTGCCGACACACAAGAACAGAAAGAAAAGGCAAAAAATTAAGATAGATATTGGGTTGCCTCCCAACAAGCTCGTTCTATATAGCCATTAAGATAGGCTTGAGATTTCATTGATGCTCATATGAAAGATAATAATTAAAACACAAAGAGAGCATCATGTGGCATGTGATAAACATATTTAAGTCTAACATACTTCCTATGCATAGGCATTTTATAAGAAAACAAATTATCAAGACAAGAAATATCTAGCATATGCAAATACGAAGAATGAAGCATTATAGTTTCAACACAAAGAGAGGCAATTTAGTGACATGAAGATTTTTATAACCATATTTGTTCCTCTCAAAATAATTAGAGAAAATTCCTTATATAACACTACTTTAAATTTTGCTTCCCTATTTGACACTGGAATACTTTTTCTTTCCTATCTAACACCGTGTCTAAATTTTATGCCTTTATGACACTTCCGTACATTTTAAGCTTTAACGGTGTTAGATGACACCTGAAAAGACCTATGCCCCTCATGGGTATGTGACCAAAATTTTACGTGGTAGTTTAGATTCAATACATGACTTGTTTTGGATGGTGTTCGACACAATTTCTTACCAAAGAGAAGTTAATTACTGAATATTTTGTCAAATGCAGAATATACAGGGAAGGAAACATGCATGAGTACATACATGCACTAGTTGTCTTTCTCTTCTTTTGAACCTTGCGCTAGCTATCTTTCATTAGCTTTGCACGTGCATGTATGCATGTTAGCACTGGCGGAACTTTCCACTCATGCATGCACCGGAGACTTGCTGCTCGAGGCATGAGTGCCCAGCTGCAAGGCCGCATGGAAGAGACGGGCAGTTAGCGTTGTGGTCCAACAGCCAAGTAGCCTATCGTAGTGCTGAGGCAGCCGGTAGCTAGCACAACAAGCCGGCGACGGGCGACTCAGGAAATGAGCACAAGCAGCGGCATAGGTCGCTTTGCACACATCCTAGGATGGACCGAGCAAGAAGGAGACACGCCCGTAGCGGCACGTACAGAAGAGCTACCTAGCAAAATGAGTCGGTCGGATACACACCTACACATAAATTTTTGGTCACATACCACATTAAGGGTAAATAGGACTTTTCAGGTGCCATTGAACCATTACGTCTTAAAATGGACGGAAGTGACATAAAAGGCATAAAATTTAGACTTGATGCTAAATAAGGAAAGAATTTTTTTGATGTCAAATAAGGCAACAAATTTTAAGACAGTGTTAAATAAGGAATTCTCTCAAATAATTGCATGTAGGATCATATTCAAATTCAACAATAGAGTTATCATACAAAATATTCTCTTTATGATCCACATGTATAAAATATTTATAATCTTCCAAAATAGTGAGATTAACATCAACTAAAGCCATGACCTTTCCAAACCCACTTTTATAAAAAAAAATCATAAGATTGAACACTTTGAGAATATGTGGAATTTTTGTTACTAAAGTTGACACTCTTCCAAACCCACTTTCAATATTATTGCAAACATTATATCACTAACATATTCATCATGAGGCTCAAATAAATTTTCAGGATCATCGTAAGCATTATCACCCCAATCATGATCAGTGCAATAAGTAGCGGACATAACAATATCATCCCCAAGCTTGTAGCTTTGCATATCATTAGCACAATTCACATTAATGGAATTTATAATAACATCATTGCAATCATGCTTTTCATTCCAGGAGTTATCATGAATCACTTTATAAATTTCTTCTTTCAACTCTTCATCACAATTTTCAGATTCACGATTTTCGAGCAAAACTTCATAAAAATAATAAAGTGCACTCAACTCACTAGCAATTGGTTCATCATAATTGATTTTTTTAAGAGATTAGCAAGTGGATGAGGATCCATTAATAATTTTTAGCAAGTAAAGATGCAAGAAAATAGAAGGCACATGGCACCACAAGCAAAGATAGCACACGAAATAAAAATTATAGAAGTGGAGGGAGATGAAAATGAGAAGGCAAATAAAAATTATAGCAAGTATATGATAGTTTGAGTGAATGTACTTGTAGTGATTGTATGATGTCTCTGCGGCAACGGCGCCATAAATTCTTTCTGTTACTTGTGAGCTGCATTTAGATTTTCCGAGAAGAGGAAGGGAGAAGTAGTATAGTAGAGATAAGTACTCCCCTTAGTGAGAACCAAGGTTTATCGAACCAAAAGGAGCACCAATCAAACCCTAGTGAACATCACCTGCACACACAAAAGCAAATACTTGCACCCAACACGGGTAAGAGGGTTGTCAATCCCCTTGAACTCGTTACTTGCAAGGGTCAAATCTTGTATAGGTAGATAGATAAATTGCAAAACAAAATAAAAGTAAATAAATTACAGTAAGGTAGCATTTGGTTTTTATAATATGATGAAAGTAGATTCGGGGGACATAGTTTTTACTAGAGGTTTCTCTCTCGAACACATAACATACGGTGGGTAAATAAAATACTGTTGGGCAATTGATAGAAAAGCGCATAGTTATGACGTATTCATGGCAATGATCATGTATATAGGCATCACGTCCATGAGAAGTAGACCGACTCCTGTCTGCATCTACTACTATTACTTCACCAATCGACTGATATCCAGCCTGCATCTATGGTATTACGTTCATGACACAAAGAGTAACGCCTTAAGAAGATGGCATGATATAGACAAAGTAAACTCAAGCAATATGATTAAACCCCATCATTTTACCCTTAATAGCAACAATACAATACATGTATCGATACCCCTTCTGTTACTGGGTGAGGACACCGCATGATTGAACCCATTACAAAGCACCTCTCACACTGAAGGTAAATCAATATAGTTGGCCAAACCAAACGGATAGAAGGAGAGAAATACAAAGCTATAACAATGATGCATAATAAAGTTCAGAAAAGACTCAATTACTTTCAATGAATAATCTGATCATAAACCCACAATTCATCGGATCCCAACAAACACACCGCAAAGGAAGATTACATCGGATAGAACTTCAAGAAGGTCGATGAAAACATTGTATTGAACATCAAAGAAAGAGAAGAAGTCATCTAGCTACTAGCTATGAACCCGTAAGTCTGTGGTGAACTACTCACGCATCATCGAAAGGCAGCAAAGATGATGTAGAAGCCCGCCGATATCGATTCCCCCTCCGGCAAGTACCGAAAAAGGCCTCAAGATAGGATCATGGAAGTACAGAAGCTTGCAGTGGCTGAAAAAGTGTTTTGGGTTGCTCTCTGTTGGTTTGGGAATGTTTGTGAATTTGTGGAGGTGGAATTAGATCAAATGGAGCTATATGGGGCCCGTGAGCTCAGGGGGCGCGCCCTGTGAGCTCGTGGCTCTCCTGTAGGTCTTCTGACCTCCTCCCGAACCCTTTAGGGTCCCTTCTGGTCCAAACAAAATCATCGTAAAGTTTCATGTGTTTGGACTCACGAGGGTTTTCAATCGTTTGGAACATGTCATAACACCCACAAGGCTAGTGCCACTAAAGCACTGCTACATGGACGATATTTTATGGCCGGTTTTCGCACGACAGAAGATTGCAGTCCTGTATCCCATTAGCTCAGTGGGCTACAACCGTTGATCACCAGTATTGTGCGAGTTTTGTCCGCCAACCATCGTTTGCATAGTGATCCTGGCGCAACAAACCCTAGAGGAGATCAAAGCTTGGAAACAAGCCGGTGTGCGAGTGGTAGGGCTGCGTAGATTTGCGTAAGAGTAGACTACATAATTATGTTGGTGCGGGTGTACCTACGGTGATGTTCGCATCATTCTTAGGTCTCTTGTAAACAAAGTTGTTTCTCTTTTTCTATACAAATATGATATAGCCTTTGATGTACTCTAAAAAAATCCTATAAATCAAAGATGCCCTTCATGCGCCAGCATGAGAAAAAACACAAGACGATTTTGACGGCATTTTTAGTTGTATGTGGATGGCAATTTTTTTCAGAGCGACATGATATTTTCTGAGAAGAGTCACCCACATAACGACTAAAAATTTCATGAAAAGAGAGGCCCTTCATGCGTACTGACACAGAACGATAGCAGTCAACGTTCTACCCACCAACTCCTCCCGATCCGTTCCTGGGTTGCCGCCAAATGTCACCCAAATCACAGATTCGGCCAAACGCCGGAAGGAAACGTCCACACGCACCGACGCACATGAATACACCGGCCTTGTTTCCATGCATCCGATCTCGGAAAAGTTTGGCAGATCAACGCGCCGTACCGGCGAGTATCATCATATTCTAATACGAGGCAGGAATCGAAGCTGGCCTGCCATCCACTGCCGATCTCGCAATTTCATATTCCCCGGAACTCGCGCGCCGCTGACTTCCTCCGCACTCCGATCGATGAAGACGGAAGCGTCGGCGCCCACTAACCGGCACGTCGTCGTCGATCCCAACCAAAACCCTCCTCCTCTCCTCGTCTCCACAGAGGAGCTCGTAGACACTATACATCTCGGAGCAAGGCGCTCCCGGCCCAAGCCAACCATTGCGCCAGGATCGAGAGAGAGGAGAAGCTACGCTAGCTAGTTAAGTAGTTCTCGGTCGTACGCGCGTCTGCTGCCATGGCGGCCGGCGGGCTGGGGCGGCCGGGGAGGCCGGGGCGCGGAGGGAACAAGCAGATGCAGAAGACCATCAACAACGTCAAGATCACGCTCATATGCGGCTTCATCACCATCCTCGTCCTCCGCGGCACCGTCGGCATCAACCTCATCGCCTTCTCCGGCGACGGCGGTGGCGACGCGGCAGCCGACGCCAAGGTCGCCGAGGACATCGAGCGCATTCTCCGCGAGATACGCTCCGACTCTGACCCCGACGACGAGGACCAGCTCGTCGTCGATGCGTCCTTGTCAGGCAACTCGACGGCCATGCCCGTCGTCGAGGAGAAGAACTACACCCTCGGCCCCAGCATCACGCGGTGGAACGCCAAGCGCCGGCAGTGGCTGTCCCAGAATCCGGGGTTCCCTTCCCGCGACGCGCGGGGCAACCCGAGGATCCTGCTGGTGACCGGGTCGTCGCCGGGGCCGTGCGACAACCCGGCCGGCGACCACTACCTGCTCAAGTCAACCAAGAACAAGATCGACTACTGCCGCCTCCACGGCATCGAGATCGTGCACAACATGGTGCACCTCGACCGTGAGCTCTCCGGCTACTGGTCCAAGCTGCCACTGCTGCGCCGCCTGATGCTGTCGCACCCGGAGGTGGAGTGGGTGTGGTGGATGGACAGCGACGCGCTCTTCACCGACATGGGCTTCGAGATCCCGCTCTCCCGCTACGAGGGGAGCAACCTCGTCATCCACGGCTACCCTGAGCTCCTCAACAAGCAGCGCTCCTGGGTGGCCCTCAACACCGGCAGCTTCCTGCTCCGGAACTGCCAGTGGTCCATGGAGCTGCTGGACGCGTGGGCGCCCATGGGGCCCAAGGGCCGCGTCCGCGAGGCGGCCGGGAAGGTGCTGACGGCGAGCCTGACGGGCCGGCCGGCGTTCGAGGCGGACGACCAGTCGGCGCTCATCCACCTGCTGCTCACGGAGAAGGAGCGGTGGATGGAGAAGGTGTACGTGGAGAACCAGTACTACCTCCACGGCTTCTGGGCGGGGCTGGTGGACAAGTACGAGGAGATGATGGAGAAGCACCACCCGGGGCTCGGCGACGAGCGCTGGCCCTTCATCACGCACTTCGTCGGGTGCAAGCCCTGCGGCAGCTACGGCGACTACCCGGTGGAGCAGTGCCTCACCGGCATGGAGCGCGCCTTCAACTTCGCCGACAACCAGGTGCTCAGGCTCTACGGCTTCCGGCACCGCTCGCTGACCAACCCCAAGGTGAAGCCCGTGGCGAACCGGACGGCGAGCCCGCTCCTGAACAAGGAGGCGTCTCTCAAGATGGACGCCAAGATCGAAACTTAAGTGGCTGATAATCCCTCGTCCCTGAGAAAGATTTTTCAGAGGTTTTCCTGTTGGAGTTCCAGGTTAGGCACAGCAAGATGCCACGTTTTTTTTGCTGTTTTAATTGAATACAGGACAGGAGTAATAGGATTGCTGCAGGTTGTCAATCTCTTTGTTGTTTTGGCTCCAGGACGAAATCAAAAACAGAGAGTTCTGAAGCTTATTTTTGTTCTAAGATGAGTTTTAAAACTTTAAATTACCTCCAGTTGAATGGTTTCATTTTAGACGAGTATTTGTGGTGCACTAGCCGTGTCGCATGCCTCGGGATCATCAATTCTAAACTGATGAACATTGCGCTTATGTGCAAGTGGATCTGGAAGCTGTTCCAGGGAGAGACCGGCCTTTGGGTTGACCTCCTTCGTGCCAAATACTTCCCTCATGGGAATTTCTTTGAGGCTGCACCTCACGGGTCTCCGTTCTGGAACTCCATCCAATCCCTCAAACCATACTTTGCCAGGGGCGCGAGGTTCTCGGTTAATAACGGTCGCTCCACGCGTTTTTGGCACGACGATTGAATAGGCCAGCATCCTCTTTGGTCGGAGTTTGCCCAACTTTATTCCATCGCTGTTGAACCCAATCAACTGATTGCTTCGGCTCTTAGTGCCACACCGCCCCCTATCTACTTTAGAAGGGAGCTTTCGAGGCCGGAGCTGGAAGATTGGGATCGCCTACGGGCTTTGATAGCGAATGTGCGTCTGTCGGACTCCGCAGACTCGGTCTCTTGGAGACTTTCGGGCTCTGGCAAGTTCATTGTCAAGTCCCTTTACAGAGAGTTGTGTCGCGGCCATGCCCCTACAGCAGCCACGGGGCTTTGGAAGGCGCGAATCCCGCTCAAGATTAAGGTTTTTCTCTGGCAACTTTGCCAAGATCACCTTCCTACCTCTATAAATATAGCTAAGCGCAATGGCCCTGCTTCCGGTCCTTGTGCTTTGTGTGGTGACCCGGAAGATGCCGACCACGTGTTCTTCCGGTGTCCTTTGACGCGCTTTGCTTGGAGCGCGGTCCGTGAGGCCGCCGGGGTGGATTGGGATCCACGCTCACGCTCGGAGCTTGTGTCATCCCTAGGTTCGGTCCAGTGCTCTCTACGCCGGATCATGTGGACGTGTGCTTCGGCCATGCTTTGGGCCTTATGGCATATTCGTAACAAGTTTACTATTGAGGGAGTGTTTCCCTCTCACCCCGCTGATGTAATCTTCAAATGCATCTTATTTTTGCAGCAATGGGCACCTCTGGGAAGACAACAGGACTCTGATCTTCATCGCCAAGCTCTAGCACGTCTTCGCTCCGTCTACTCGACGTCTCGAGCCCCGTCGCCTCCGTCTGCTGCCTCATAGGGATGGCAGCCCTTTTGGTCATGGTTTACCCCCGAGCCTGTGTGCTCGTTAGCTTGGCTGGATATGCCATGTAATGCACTTTATATCGTCGCCGTTGCCTTTTGTGGCATGCCTTAGACCATGGTTGACTAGCTTCGGTTCCGTCTGTTTAGTTTGTATGTTTGTGCATGCTGCCTGTGTGAGGGCTTTATTAATTTAAAGCCGGACGTCCCTGATGTCTTTGATCTAAAAAAACAATAGGGCCGATTTGTAGCAGCCGTGTGGTCCTACCTGAATGATCTGTGCAGGTGGTTCCCGGAGATAGTGGGCAGTGACCCGGGTGCGTACGGGGGAGACTAGTATAGGATCTCGCATTAGGTAAGATCAATCACAAAAATTCATATATAAACATTCCTAAAAATTCTGAAATTACATGACAACTTTTCTGCAGAGTGTGTCTACAACTCCGAAAAAAATCAGCACAAAACTCAATGTACAGTTGGAGATTCAAAAAGGATAAATTCAAATGTGAACAGTGAAAGCTTTGGTTGAATAATATTTTGACACTATTTACTTTTAATTTTGTCTTTTTTGTTTCTAGTAATGTAGGTCAAATTAGGAGCACGTGCAGGCATCTGTCCACCGCTGGTCGGGGTGCCACAACCACTTTGCATGTCCACTATTTTGTATGCAACTGCAAGTGTTGTAACTTGACTGCAAATGCATGAGCACAAAACCGACTGCGACAGGGTCAGAAGGGGGTTTGTCGGGAGGACAAGGGCATGCGTTCCGCCCGTCTGCGCGCGTCCGTTTCGACGCAAACGCGGCCCAAAGTTGGGCCGGGAATGAGTCGAAAGCGAATCGAAAACGGACATTAGTCCATTTGCTCCTGTGTGTTAGGTCGCATGTTCTGTTTGTTTACCCCCAAACGAACACGGGCGGACCATTTGGGGTCGTGCGTTGGAGTTGCCCTAACCTACTCTATAGATACATGAATGTGCCAAAAATCATACCTAAATCAGTATACTTTTCAAGCTAAAATACTATGATACCGCAAAACATCCCCCGCACACAAAAATATTGAAGAAAATCCAATGACAAAAAATCAAGTAAGTATCAATGAACAAAGACATATACCCAACAAAAAACAGAAACTCAAACTTTGCAACCAAAATACAGAATTCCACCAATTTCCGGGGCTTAGTCTAAAACATGACAGAAACTGACCAAGGAAGAATATAATACTGAAATTTTCTGAAAAAATAAATTTTCTAAGAAAGAATAAATTATCATCATTGGTATTAACCTTGATGAAAAATAAGATAAAATAAAAAGTAGAACTAAATTGAAATAACAATGTTTTATAAAGAAGAACGAATTAGTGGCATTGGTGTTGCCCTTTAAGAAGAAAGAAATTTTTAAAAATAAAAAAACAATGACAAAATGTGTACACTATTCACACACATTTTTAATAATATGCAAGAATAAACATATCATAGTTGAAGTCTGGCAACAAAAGAGTTTTCTAAGGAGTGAATTAGTGCCATTACTATTACCCTTAAAGAAGAAAGGAAAATGTAATAACACTAAATCAAAATCAAAAAATAGAATAGAAACACAAAGAAAAAACTGATGTTTACTAAGGACGAATGAATTAGTGGCATTGGTATTATCCTTTCAAAAGAAAGAAAATAAAACAACTAAAAATCATAATAATAAAGTTTTCTAAGCAAGAATGAGACCTTTTCAGAAGAAAGAAAAAATAAAAAATAGTGAACTTTTCTAAGGAAGAATGAAACCATTTAAGAAGAAAGAAGATGACAAAACTTCAAAACTTGAACACAACTTTGCACTTCCTGGAATATTCAAAGAATGGGCATATAATAGTATTTTTCTTGCATTCTACTACACACATATAGTTTAGTACCTGTGTGTATGCTTACACACACAAAAGCAAAAAATAACATTTTTGAAGAATGAATGAATTAGGGTACTGATATTAACCTTTAAGAAGAAATAAAATGATAAAATTGCACACAATTTACACCGAAATTGCGCATTTATATAGTATGCAAAAATGAGCATATAATACTGCAATTTTGCAAAAAAAAGTTTGCTAAGAAGAAATGAATTAATGGGATTGGTATTACCTTTTTAGAAGAAATAGGTGAAGTTTTATAAGAAAAAATAAATTAGTGGATTTGTTATTAACCTTTCAGAAAAAATAAATGAAATAAAATTTAAATCATAATCATAATCAAAGCAATTAGGTTTTCTAATGAAAATTGAATAAGTGCAGTGGTATTACCCAAGAATACATAGGAAAAAACCAAATACAAATAATGAAAATTACACGCGAAAAAATAATGAAAAAAATTGCACACTATATATAAAAAATCACACTTTTTAAAAATATGGTATAACAGGAATATTATAGTGTAGATAGTGGCATTTGTATTATCCTTAAAAATAAATAAAAACAAAAACAAAATAATGAAGTTTGTTAAGGAAGAATGAATTAGTGGCATTGTTATTACTCTTTAAAAAATGAAGAAAAATCGACGACAAATAATGACAAAATTTGCACTCAATATACACATAAATTGTGCTTTCTAAAATATGCAAGAATAAATATATTATAGTAGAATTTTGACTAAAACTAAGTTTCCTATGAAGGAACGAATTAGTGGCATTGTTATTACGCTAAAAAATAAATAAAAGTAAAACACAATTTAATAATAAAGTTTAAAAATACCCCTTCATCCCATAATGTAAGACGTTTTTTTTACACTACGCTAGTATCAAAAAACATCTTATATTACGGGATGAAGAGAACGAGACAGAATTAGTAGCATTTGTATTACCTTTACGAAGAAAAAATAAAAAGTAAAACTTCCACACGACTTTGCACTAAAAATTACAATTTCTTAATTTGCGAATATTAATCTTATTATGATGCATTTTTGGCACATATTATATGGATTTGTGTGTATATATTTACATTCAGGCCACATTTCAAAAATAAACATAAATGAAAAACTTCAAAACAGACTAATAAATAAATAAAAGCAAAATAAAAAAATAAAAAAATAAAAGTATAAAGGGGCAGGCTGGGCCGCACATAGTAATGGCCTTCAGCCTGTTAACGAATCGACTGGCCCAAATATAGGGTCAGTCGATTTACCATAGACCAAACCACAAGCGTTATATCTTGCATCCAGCGAGACCGAAGATTCTCTCGGTGAAGCGTCTCGACTAATCGGGTCTGCCCACTAGCGCTTCAGCGAGTTGGAAGCTCGACTTGCTGAACATGATACATAGGGGCGCCCCAGACCAAACACCTTAGCGAACAAACCAGAAAAAAAGCCTGAATCGCAAAGCAAGATAAACGGTACACAAAATTAACTGACCCAAATAAAAATTTTAGGCGACTTACTTGCAGCTAAATTGAATATGTTCAGCTTGACACTAAATCATATACCAAACCTAACACATACATAGTTGAAGGTCTATATGCAAAAAAAGAAAAAGATGCGCACGGTAGTACGCACACAACAGCTCAATATGATCCCATGTTGCTAGGCCACACAACGTAACACGCACCAAAGAAAAATCAGAAACATGAGACAACAAGCTCAAAACCGTACC